GTGTGCTACCTTCAGTGAGATCAAGCTTGCACAAAAAAGCAGCTTGCGTGCTATGGCCAGTGCTACATGTTCATGGAGGTCTTGGTATCTGTCCTTCAAAGCATCTTTGACAACACTGAACTCTGTATGGTAGTGCAATGCCTGTCTGGGAACTTGCGATAGCAATGGGCTTGATGAATTGTGGGTTGGTTAATTTATCTTCCTCTCCATGTTCCCTTTCTGCCTCAGAGTACCACCAGTGACTCTTTCAAATGACAGAACTGTAGCCTGTGGCCATCTATCAATTGCTCTTCCAGCAAACTTCTTAGAAGGCTCTGCTGCTCTGCAGTGCTTGTGAACTCTGCTTTTAGTCATGTTTCAAGCCTGGCTACAAGTGTGGTTCAAGGAGCCTGTGAATAACAAGCTGAAAACTACTTGTCTGATGGATGTAGTAATTCTTGTTCTTCACCCTGAATCTATGCTCTTCTGTCCAGACTTTGGTGTATGTCACATGCACCGTTCTAGGAGCAATTATACAAACAGTAAAGCAATGTAGAACACCATGCCTTAATTTACCACAGAAATTAAACTTGAGAGAGTGCCTCTGACATTTAGAGTCTTATGATCATGTTGAAGTAGTGGCTGCCTGTCTTGCTGACGAATCTGTTCTTATTTATGCAGAGGCCTCTGGGTATAAGTACAGAGTGGAGGTGAGAAAGAAAACATCGCAATGCAGTTGTTTGGTTTTTTTTTTTCCCCTTGCAGAGCACAGAGAGAATGTATATGGTTTCAGCTTTTTTCTTACAAGAACATCTAAGTGTGAACATCTTGCGATTCAGGAAACTGTGCTGAAGTTCTTAAAGATCAAAGAAAAATATTTTTCCTGCATTCTGAGCTTTCACTTCAAATTTTTGAGTGCATGGATTTATAGTGTATGCCTTTTGAATGCTTTCTTTAGCATTCATGCTGCTAGTTGCATATCTGGTAAACTTAACAGCTAAGGAGGAAAGAGGTCTTGTGAAGGGGAGGGTGTCTGAACGCTGCTCAAGGAACTCTATCAGAGGAGGTTTTTTGTAGGTCTAATTTTACATTAATTACTGTTTGAAAACTTGGGGTAGAAACTCGTTCTACCTTAATACAAACCACAGATGAGGGGACAGAAAAATGGAGAATCTATTTTTTTTTTTCCTCCTAGATGGCTTATAATCCCCATATTTCAGCTGGGGTTTTGTTGGTGATGCAGTACTGGTATTAATAGAATTTTGGGGGTGAGCAGGTAAGGGTTCAAGTTAGCAAGAGGAGATGAGTTAGACTCCTGCTGTGAGGTGAATGGAGGAGGCATGAGGGTAGGAGCTCACCTCTGTTTATTATCAAGAGGCAAAGCAGCTTGCCAAAGATGCCATTTTTTTTGGCAGGGGAGAGTAGAAAATAACAGGAAAGGACTTAGAGTAGTTTTGGATGAGAAGACTGCATCCCTTCCTTTTTTGGATGGGAGACCACCTGAGCCATCAGCGACAGTGTACATGGGATGGTGCTGTTGATTAGTCTGTGCTTCTGTTGGAGTACTTGACAGCATCAACTCTTTGCACTAGAAGAGGCAGCTTTACTGAGGAAGTACTGTGTATGTGTTTAGGCTTGGTAAGTTTTATCTTTGATTAGCTAATGTGTGTGTATGCAGGGAAATTCAGGGAAAAACCTGAAAGGTGTTGTGCATGCTCTTCAAGCATCTAGTCTGCCTGCTAACCAACAACAAAAGAGAATCTTGTGGCTTCTGTACAGCTGCTTCTCTTTCCTCCCTCAACATCCCATCTCCCTCAAGAGCCCAGTAAAAGGAGAAACCAGGCTTTCTTGCAGGACTTGAATGACAAGTGAAAGCTGATTCTCAAAGAACCTTATATCCTAGATCATGTGGTTCTCTTTAAATTAAAATGACAGTGAATCACGGGGTTATGCTTATAAGAAGAAATGGTCTTAGTTGTGCCTTGGAGAAATTAGTCAGACTTTTAGATACAGAAATCGGGGTCCAACAGTCCTAATAATTAAGAATAGTGTGGGAGCAAAAGATGTGAAATAGATGAAAGTGGGTAAGTATACATACGTAAACTACAGATTTGGCTTTGTGTTATAGAAGTTGACTCCAAACCCTATGGTCTGGGAATTCACCTAGGAAGTCTAACAAGTACTGTGCAAGTTGGCTGGCTAATACAAGCATGCTTACCTATATTTGCCAAAGAGCAAGGAGTCCTCAGCATCCTCTTATTTACTCTACTGAATGCTGCTTGCTGTTGATTGCACTAGCTGGTCAGATGCAGCTAGTGTCTGTTGCTTATGAGCTCAGCTGTATCAAATACTGAGCTCATGGCAGGAATTCCTGCCCCATATGCTTAGGCAAATGCCAGGCTGCAGGCTGGTTCTCTAGCTGTACCTGTTCTTGTAGGTATAGCTCTGTGTATAGTAGTCTCTGAAACCTTAATACAGTTTACAGGATGAGAGTAGCATAGAACAACCTCTTGCTCTGTTCCCAGCTGACTAATATTGGGCTACTGGAAGCTTCCAGGCTCCCCTTGGTAACTGCTTCCCTCTGGACAAAAAAAGTGTCTTCCTCTTTTCCTTTTTTTTTTGTAATGCAGGTCTTCTTGAGCTCTCCTTGGGAAAATTCAGAAATGTGCTACTTAACCAGACCAATCCAGTGGAAGCTGTAATCAGAAACGTTGCAAGCAATGTGACTGTTGTTATTTTTCAAGTACATGCCCAGAAAAGCGATGTGGTGATATCCTTTGATAAGGTATGGTGAGAGTGTCACTTCTGTTCTGAAGTTCTGCTTTTCTTATAATGAAGGAGTGAGCTCTGGTACCTATAGAAATATAGAACTTAAAGAACTGAAGCTATATAATTGGATACCTAATAAATGAATACCTTACCTGCATGGCTCTTAGACAGTATTATTTTAGCTTCAGAAGTCCTTTCTTATGCTTATGGCTCATAGCTGCTATTTTGGAGGACTGAATGCTGAAGGAATTTCAGACCTGGCTTGAAGAATGTTTCAGGGCTCTTTATTCTTGGTGGAAGTGGTGCTTTTGATATGTGACTGCTGGCTACTGTCTGTCAGCTTGTCAAATAAAAAACAGATTCATGATAAGCATTTGCTAGATACCTTATACACTAAATGTGATCACTTTAGGATGTTTAGTTGTCTGCTGTTTATGTGGCTTGGATCTAGCCACTGCAGATATGATGTCTTGTCACTCCAGTTGCTTGTCCTGAATTTAATTCTCCATTGGTGGCATATGGAGAAGTTCTTCCACACTATCCTGGTGAAGGCTGCTACTTTTGGCCAACAATATAAGCATTCCTACTGCAATACGCTAGCCTCAGTTTGTCCCACTGTTACTGGGATGCAATCTTAAAATACTGAATTTTATGGTGCTGTGAGGCTCTAAGTGGTATTTGAGCAGAATGTAGACTAAGGTGAAGGTGGTAGATGGAGATCTGGCAGCTGCCATCCGGTATGCCTCTGCCCATCAGTTTTCCAAATGAGAATGTACTGAGTGCCAAGAATTATCCTGGGAAGCTTTGGGGGTAAATAACCTGCAACACAAGTCACCCAGCTGCTCGGTCTTCTTTGTACTGGTGAAATAGCAAGGATTACAGGGCTAAAACATTACTGTTATGCCTATTCAGTCTTCGATTACCAGTGGTAGAATTTTTTGCTGTCAATTCAGACCTCCTTTGCATTCATAGGCCTTACCAGGGCAAGGACGGTGGTGCACATATATGGCTGCACTGCTTTTAGGGCTGGCCTGCCTCTGGAAATATGAAGCTGAGCCAGACCTTAAAGCCTGCCAGGTCCAAAGTGTCTCCTTAGTGTTGCCTTGGGTAACTGTCGTTGTATTTTGACAAAAGTACATTTTCCATACTAAAATAATAGATTTGACTGGAGGTCAGTCGGTTGTTTCAGTCATGTGAGTGTGGTACTGCCATTGCTGCCTGATCTTTCCTCAAGACCCCTGGTTCTGAAAGGGATGGTGCTGGTGGCCATTGGGTTAGTAGCTGACCTGGCCCAAAGAGCTTGTCTGGCATGGCTAGTGTTAAGCCAGCTGTCATACAGTCATCTTCATTCTAGTGGAGATAGTGAGGTGCTTCTGCATGTTAATTCCCAGAATGCCCTTTAATGCCATCTCACAACTTTTTGTGAGGGATATTCCAACCATTTTACACCTTTATTAGTCCCTCCATTGCTGTATAGCAGTAGACTTCAGCTAGCTAGATTTCTCTGCAGTTTGCATGTGAATATTAACTCTTCAATAGTCTTGAACTCATTGCTTGCGTTTTTGAGCCTGAATTAGGCAGTGTGTGGTGTCAGAGGCCACTCCTTTTTCTGTGCCTTGGAGCTACCAGCTAGCTAAGGACTGAATGCCTCATCTCTGGCAACTGTCACCGAAATGTGTGCCCTACAGGGTTGTAGCAGGGATCTGTGCAATACATCAAGCTGTGGTGGAAATCTTCTCAAGAAGAACTACTTGTTTATATAATTTCTTTCTGTCCAGAATCCATCTGTGAACAGCTCAGGAACAGGAGTAGACAAAGGACTGGTTTCCATTCTTCGGCCTCAACAGAGTGTATGTACGTGGTACCTTCGGGCACTGGATGCTAGCCAAGTGCTCAGCACAGCTATCTCTATTCCCTATATGGAGAAAGGTAGGTTCTTATTACTTATTAAGGGATACCAGCTCTGCTTATTACAAGTTATCTGTGAAATGAAGGGTTGACCTTTCAGATGTGATATTCTTACATGGTGCACACACGATGGAGATGCCAGAAATTCTTTTGAAATGGACTGAAAAAGTTTGTGAGGGATATTCCAACCATTTTACACCTTTACTAGTACCTCCATTGCTGTACAGCAGTAGACTTCAACTAGCTAGATTTCTCTGCAGTTGATTCACTGTTGATTTGTGAGTCATGTATAGAATGTACTGTATAGTCTTGTCATGACTTCAGCCTTGAAGTAGAAAACTGATTTGCATGTGTATCAGGACCTATCTTAGATTGCAGTGAAACTACTTGTGTTGTCTGCAGGACTATAACCTTACGATTGTATGTGCTCAGCTAGCAGACTATGCCTGCAAGTACATGCATTGCTGAGGTCTTAATTCTATTTTCATGCTATGTAAGGGGAAGTAAAAACTACTACAGCTATCTTTTCTGTGTTCTAGATCCTATTCCTGGAGGCTGCAATCTAGAATTTGACTTGGAAGTGGATCCAAATATTTACCTAGACTATACATTGGTTGATATACACATCAAGTTTGCCCCTGCAAACTTGGGATATACCAGGTGTGTGGAAAAACTTCAGTGCACTGAGCAAGACCACCTTTGTCCTGTATTTGGCCAAGGTCATAAAACAAGATTCTGGAAAGACTGACCATCCAGGTGCTGGCAGAAATCTTATTTGCTGCAACAAGCTGAGAATTAAATGAGGAAAAGGAGGAGAGGGAGAGGTAACACAAAGAGATAAAGGCTGAGAGTTGCATCTTATGGGAGAGGTTATGCAGCTTCACATGTGCAAGCAGTCAGCAAATACTGGATCTTCCCATTCCTCATAATGACTTAATCTGTTTGAGGACCAGATGTGTATTATAGCCAGTTTTAATCTTTTACTGATACTGAAGCATGCTAATGACCTGGAGTTTTGTTTAATATTGAGACTTCAAGTTATAAGGCATTATTTCCTGAATGGTGCCTGATGTCACAGGTGATAGGCAGGGAATGGGGAATGCTGTGTTCAGAGCTGTATATATAGCATGCATGGAAAAACAAGCAGTGATGCCATGATCTTTGGCTGTTGTGACCTCTTGCAATCATACTGCTTAGACAGTTCATAGGAAGCCTCTGTAAATGTAAAGGCAGGTCCAGCACAGACACTGCTTGCATCAGGGTAGCTTGTGCATAATACTGATGTAGTCTGTGCTCACAAACGTTTACACTCTAGTTTAGAATTAATTGCTGGTGTTAACTTCTAAAGAGTAGAAGCCAAATACTGCCAACTTGTACAGGTAACTTCTGAAAACTAATATTAAGATCTTTGGGCTTGTGCTGGGCACATGGCTGATCTCTCTTTAATTGCAGAGGAGCAAACCCACCATCCTGCGATTCAGCGACTGATCAGAACTCCAGATGGCGACTGCGCTATGATGTCTACCAGTACTTCTTACCAGAGAACGATCTTTCTGAGATGGTACTCATGAGCCACATACGGAAGATGTCTGAGGTGCAAAGTATCAAAGCTAATGGCATTAAAGTAAGTCTGAAGCATTGGTGTACCAGGCATGTGGCAGTGATGCTGTCTTAAGTTTTCTCCTTCCTTGAGTGCTGATGTAAATAAGCTGCTGATGTTTCAGGCTTCTTGCTTGTATCTGGAATTTCTGTCTAGGAAGTATGCAGTGAGTGATGCACGCAACATGGGAACTACTCTCTTGGGAAAGAGGTGGCTAGTTAGCGCAGCCTGAAATGCAGCAGAATTGAGGCTACTTGCAGTGGGCTCTGATTCTAGGTAGATGTTAGTGACTGGTCTGTGAGATGTTTTTATGTCTTGCACTCTTTTCTTAATTAAACAGCTCTTATTGCAGTTTCTTCCTGCTTGCTGAATACTACTTTAGCCACAGTGTTCCTTCAGTAATGTTGAGGCCAGCTTGCCTAGAGCAATACTGCCACTGAGTAGCTGTAAATTCGGAAGTCGAGCCGCTTCTGACAAAGATTGATAATCTCCTGTGATGCCTGATAGATGCTGAGGACTGGCATCCTCAGATGCTGAGAACTGGGCAGGGGCTATAAGGAAAAGGAGGGAGGAGAGTGTAGTGGAACTGGACTAGAAACAGGCCACATTTGAAGTGGCATAAAGAGATCTGATAAGCAAGAGCAAACACTTGCTGCAATGTTTACGTACTCCCCAGCAAAGTGATTTGAAGGGAGAGAGAGGAGAGAATCTCAGTGGCCATGACCCATCTAGCTTTGCTAGGGAGTAGAATGGGAGCCTTGCCTGCTTCAGAGGCCCGACCTGGGTTAGTAGACTGACAGGGAAACAATTGTGTCCTCAAATGGGGAGGAGCAAAACATGTGAGAATTTTCTCCCCTGTCAGAAAACATAGTAATGTTGGAGGAAGTGGAGTGTGTCCTGTAAGCCTTTAATGCTTCAATTGGTAATACTGAGAGGATTCAGAATGAGAGAGCTCTTGCTTGCAGTTCTTGCTGATCATCATATTTGAGCTGCTGAATATTCCCTCAGCTGCATGGACGCATAAATATGCCAACAGTGACAAGCAGTCCCTTGTAATTAAAAATGTTCTTTACTGTTCCAGATGCTTACGCTGACAACTGATGACAAGACCAATGTCTACTTTTCTTCGCTTCCTGGACAAGGTGTGATCTACAACGTGATTGTATGGGATCCTCTTTGGAATACATCTGCTGCATACATACCTGTGCATACATATGCCTGCAGCTTTGCTGACCTGGTGGATAACTGCTCTTCTCTCAGTAAGTTGGGACTTGTGACCTTGCCAACTCATTTCTAGCTTGTTGTACTCCAATGTGCTGAGTGGTGCTCTTGACACTTTTTTTTAAATATGTGAAGGAGCTCTTTGTTCTACTGTAGATGTATTTTGTTACTTTATGACAGAGTCTACTCCTTAATTGAGGAGAAATTCTAGAATAATGAAATAAGACCAAGGAGAACTACTATCAATTGAAGATTTAATTTAATGGAGGTTTAATATATATAGCTTTCAACTCTGTAGTGCCACTCTAGCTTTTTCCATTTGAACTGGGTACATAATCTTAAGTCATTTATAGGACTATAGATGCTGCATGTGAAACTAAGCTAATAAAACGTGAACTAGATTAGGGTCCAGCTTTATTTTCTTTTTCTAACTGTGCTGATGCTAACAGGAATTGGTAACTTTTAAATATTTTAAAAGGAGCTAGTGACCTAAAATAAGCATGAAGATAATGCCAGCAATGACAAAATGACTACAAAGTCATGCTGTTTTGTACAAAGCTATATAATCATAGAATCTGAGCAGAAGAGCAAAGCTGCCACTCCCATATGACTGTGGGAGGGACAATAATAATGGGGTAGAACATGGTTCACAAAGTAAGATTTGTTCTCATAATTATTTTCCTATCATACACTGTAACACAAGTAACTGTTGTCAAACTCAGTGTTGTCTTATGGCAATGTAAGACAAATGAGGCTACACCCCCTCTTTTCTGATTTGGAGAATGAGGAAAATGCAATTTACGTGTTTCAAATGGCAAAATTCTTACAGGAATTTAAGCTTAGGATACAGAGGTGAGCCACACTGGGATGCTGCTGGTCCTTTCTGTTGCATGGAGAGTATATTAAAGGGAGACTATGGTGAAGGTTGTAGTGATAAAGACTAGCTGCTGCCAGGGTCACTAATCCTGTAGCACTGATTTTTATAGATGATTGGATGTCCTTTTTTTAAAAGCTGAGCAGAGAATTTTCAGGTAAAGCTATATCGGTACTATAAACAGCAAGTTACAGCTGCTTAATTATCATTAGAGAAACTTCAACCTTTTGAATAAAGAGGAAGCTCTTGGTTTCTTAATCACACTGGAACTACTTCAGTATTCTGTTGGAGATCCTGTCAAGATAACTGTTAGTTCAGGCATTCACATGGTGTGTCTGAAGGAGTGGCAGCTATTAAGTTGTCAGTAGATTTCAGTGGCAGCAACCTGACCTTACCTTAGTCTTGTTGTTGGTTACTAGACCGTTCCACCTAGCTGTCCCCTTTCTTTCTCCTTGTAGGCAGACTCTCTACCAAAGTATTCTTCACAGCTGTTGCTATTCTTGGTCTCTTCGCTTGCTTTTTTGGACACAGATTCTGGAAAACAGGTACTGAATGTTGAGGTGTTTTTTTCTTGTAAGTCTGGTTGGAATTTCATAGATGTAACTTGCTGTAACTTAGAATGGAGGTGTTATTACTAAGATTCACTTGATAGCGCTTATGTGCCAACTGGGGCAACTGCTTTGCTTTTACAGGATCAGAGCTTTTAAGTGCAGAGCAAGAAGCTTCTGGTATGTGAAGAACAGAAATGTAGAGCTAGGGTGCATGCTGGGCACTATAAATATAAACATGTAACTCTTTGACTATTTGAAGTGCTTGAAGACACTCCTTTCCAGAACAAAGTGTTGTCTGGCTTTCCTTTTGTGCTTTTCAGCCAGTAAGCTGAGATGTTCCTTCCCTATTGTAACATGATGTCTGAAGATATGCTGAAGTGAGCTTGGTATGAAGTGATGTGACAGCATGCGTACTAAATCTTTTTTCCTTCTTCTAGACTTATTCTTCATGGGCTTCATATTTGCAGGATTCTTCTTCTTTGTATTCATTACAAGGGTAACTGGCCTTAGTTATGATGGTGAGTAGATGTGTCTGCATACCCCATGCTCTTCCCAAAGTACTGTTATGAGTCCCTTGAGTAAAATCTCAGTTGTTTGTTGGCCAGCCTTAGGAAGGGTAGGAGGATGATACTTGGGTACTTAAACTGAGCTCTGATTACCATAATAGCAGAATAAGCAACAGAGTAGCTGTTGCTTCCAACATGAAATAGTGATACAGTATTAATAGCTGTAACTATAAAAGACAAATTTTAAGTATCTATCCAGTTTTTAAACTCTGGAAACTTGCAACATACTTCCTTCCTACTTCTTTTGTATTGGGTGGACTGCAGTTTCAGGTCAAATGCAAATTTTATCTTTAAAGTAATGGAGTGGAAGGTCTGCATCCTGCTTGTTATGCTAGCAAGAATTAGTTTTTGTCCTTTTGTCTTTGTCCTGACTCATTGTTACTTTTTCCATACTTGTGTGTTAGCTGTTGCAATAACTGTCCTGGGAACTCAAGGTACTAATATACTTAGTAGCAAGACTTTCATCCCAGTCCTATGCTACTCTTTCACACACATCCTCAGTTGCAGACTGGAGTCTAAGTGAAATGTATGAAGCAAATGCTAATTATTGTTTGGCTTTTTTCAGAAAGATTTCATTAGCTAACAAAAATCAAGCATGTAAGTAAAGCTGCTGAATACGTTATTGCAGTAACTGAAGTTTTCAGTGTTGGATTTTCCCCTTTTCTTTTTCAGTGCGTCTTATTTTGACAGCAGTAGCTGGACTTACTGGAGGGCTTTTCCTGGTTGCAAGCTGGTGGAGATTTGGCTCTGTCCTACTCTGTATGTTCGTTATTGGACTTGTACTGGGATTTCTCTTTTCATCTACAGTCTTCTTTACTCCACTAGGTATGCACTGAAATACTCTGCTGCAAAGTGCTGGCTGTTGAGTGATGTGTTCCTGCTGTAGTACAGGGACACTGCAAGGCTCCGAGATGAATGCCATTATCTGGTTTATCTCAGTGTTGTGTTTAACTTTCCCTTTTCAGTGTTGGGAGGAATAGAGATGGACCTGAAGCCTTCTTTCATGTGTGCTGTAATTAAAACTACTAAGGGAATCCCCACTGGTGGGAAAAGGAACATGCTTATTCTGCAGAGAACTTGAGGCTCTTCCTACCTAATCTGTGAGCCATCTCAGCAGTCTGGGGCACCAACTGTGCTCCAGGCAAGCACTTGCTCTGTGTCTTGTTCTCCACCCAGAACAAGTTACAGTAGAAAATGTGCAGTCTAACTTGGAGTCTTCAGGCATAAACGCATTGTGGATTAAGAGGAGCTCTTGCCATTACCTTTCACCATACTACAGTGCAAGGCTCTGGGAGCACTGCACTGTAAGAGTCAAACTCATTGTTGCAGCTGGACTGACATTGTCGGGGTCTTTAGAATGACTTTATTAAGAAAGAAACAATAGACTGCTGAGCTGTAATCCCTCTGGAACACACTGGAGCTTCAGCCACGCTGCTTTCTCTATTGTAATTTTAAATCTCAAAACTCTTCTACTTATGATCCCTTGGTGGGGCAGTATTTCATTCTCCAGTCATCTGTGTTTGACTCAAGCCATGACTCTGTGATAATCTAGGCAGTCCCTGGTTGCTTTTCATTAAAGTAAAACAGTAACTCAGCTGGGGGTCAGCTTGTCCCCTCTAATTGACAGGCCTTAGAAAGCAGGGGGAGCGAAGTAGTGTTTTGAGTGACTTAATTACTCTTCCTAAAGCCAGAAGCATTTGTTGCCTTGTGATGGCTGCATTTGCACTATACTGTAGAGTCAAACTTACATTGATGCAGGCTTATAGATTATAAACCTATATAGGCAATAAAATGGCTTCTTATTGGGTGGAAGTACTCTGGTACTTTTAATTCTTGTCAGATAAGTAATGTACACCTCATCAAAAATCTTTTGTTTCATGGACAAGGTCTGCTGTCCCAACTTGGAGTACAGGACCTATACTCAACTGGGACAGTCTTTTTCTGTTCTTGTTTTGAGTAACTGTGTTACAATGCATCTTAATCAGTATTTGAGCTCAAAAGCAAAGCTTCTCAACACTCTACCTTAGATTTCTGAATGCACAGAATCTTTGGGGGAAAAGGCTTGCTGATAACCAGTTACAAAAAAGGAAATGTTTTGCGAACTAGTGAATTACATGTGGAATATGGTGTCTTTGCAGGGGACTACAGAGTCTTCCGTGATGATGTTGTGTTCTGGGTGACCTTTTCTTCTGTAGCCTTGATGATTCCAGTGCTTTTTGTTGGCTGTCCAAGAATTGTAAGTAATCTGCACTGTCACGTCAGGAGGAGGGAGGAAGGGCTCTCAAACTTAATTCAAAATGTAGTCCTGTGGGATATGTGTAGAAGATTTAACACAGCTTAATGATGCTCAGCACAAGACCAGCTCTAGGGAGCTCCTGTTTGGCCCTATTTGTGCTGAGTGGTCCATAAACAAAGTAATGACTCTTGACAATGTTGCACATAGCATCTGGAGACACTTGCATTTACTTCTACTGTCTTAACAAGACACCGTGTGTGCAGCCAATTTCTTGTGGAAGAACTGATATAAAATACTGCCTTGAGGTGGGGAATAAAGTGTTTATCAGTCTCCTAAAGCTGTGGGATTTTTTTTCTCCCTCTAGCTGAACATACTGGCCTCTGGAATAGTAGGCTCTTACTCAGTGGTCCTAGCTATTGCTTGTTATGTCTACACAAGTCTTGCTTACATCACCTTAGACTTACTCAGAAGGGTCCTCAATGATTACTTCAACAGAGCTTACACCAATGTGCCTTTTCAAACAAATGGTGAGTACTGCTCTTAAGACTACTTTTTTTTTTTAAGAACTGCTACCTCTTGGTTCTGTTGTAGACAGTGAGTGTTGAGGGTAGGAAGGGATGAAAGGAGAACACAGTAAGTACAAGTAATTGAGGTTTAACACCCAGATGGTAAATTCTAGTCCTCCAAAAGAAATACTGAGTAGACCCAAAGGCACCAAACTTCCAGCAGGTGTTATGTGACAAAGGCCCTTGTGAAAGGTGCTTCTCGGGCTTGCACTGCCACCTTGCTGATGAGTTTACAGAGTGGGCAGTCAAAAGGCCTATATGGTGACTGAACAGACTCATGTCAACTTGCTCTGTGTTCATGCCTTTGCATGGATATACTCTAGGCATGTGAGGATGCAGAGACAATACTTCATTCCTTTCTATCGGTAAACGTGTTCAGTGTTTGTGCTTGGGAAAGGACAGAATGTTCTGTTTTGATACAGGAATCTGTTGCCTCTTTTTCAGACTTCATTATCCTGTCAGTGTGGGCAATGCTGGCCCTCAGTGGAGTAACTGTGCAGCTTCGCCGAGAGAGAAGTGAAGTGCCCTTCCCGCCACACCCTTATCTTACCTGGAAGCGAGAAAGGGAGCGCAGAAGCACCAATGTCTTAGACCCTAGCCATCATATCCCTCCCCTAAGAGAGAGGATCCATAGCAAGATACACCATATCAAAGAATTTTTTCAGAAAGAGCAGCCGGCTGGGGAAAGAACTCCGTTGCTTCTGTAACCCATCAAATGACTGGTGAGAACAAAGAAGAATAATCTAGGAATGGCGAGATGAATGATTGCCAGCAAACCAGCCAGTGGTGCAGGATTTACCACTACCAATTTGTCCTGCTTAATAAGAAGAAAACATACTTTCCAAACCTGGAAGAAAACTTATCTGTACGGTACACTACATGCTGTTTTATGACTGTTTCCCTCAATGGCCTGCTCAGTCTACTGTAACATGTCTAGCTGCAGAATCTTGTACTAGAGGTGAAGTACAGGTATTTATCTTATGGTGATCTAGTTTGATGTGTAGGTATGTGAAGTATAAAACAGCCCTTAGAAAGCAACCTGTACAATGCTGGTTCTTCCATCACAGTGGAAACCACTGCCTGACTTGCTCCTGAAGCCAAGCAGTCTGTCAAATTGCAAGGGAAGACAGATAAGAACCATCCATAGAAAGGGTTCTAGCAGGAACTGAAGTATCACCTTCTAATAAAGGTACAAAATGTGTGGCTGCAGACATGGTTGTTTCCAAGAAGTGTTACTGAACCTTGCAAGCTAAGCTAAGTGACTTGAATTTAAACTGCACTGAATTAACTGTTGTAAGTGTGTGCGCTGGGGCTCAGGAAGTGGACCTGATCTGAGACAAGAAGACTTTCTCCCTCGCTTTCAGATGGTTCTGTAGCAAACTCGTCATCTGGTCTCTGTGCAGAGATGACTGCTAAGAGAACACAACAGGTTTGCCTCCTTGTTTGCTTTCTGAACAGCCTGTGTCTTGTTTCTGCTCTGGCATAATCTCTTGTTTTGATGGTGCTGTCATAAAAGAAAAAAAACTAAATAAGCTCTTTGTAGCCAACAGCAGTTTTTTCCTGGAGTTGGTTGAAACACTAACTATTTTTATTTTTAATCATATATCTTTTAATTTTGCCTCTAAGGGGTGAAAGTGGCATCCAGCTGGCAAAATACTGACCAGGATCCTTGCTGACTGAATGTGTTCCTTGCCAATTTGGATTGCATCTGCTGAAAGCAGAATGCAGTAAAACAGATAAGGGACCACTCTTGTGTTCAGTGAACTGTGATCTCATGTAGTGGCTTTTTTCAGTTCCTTGAAAACAACAAACAGCCATTTTCAAAATGCAAACTGGAGCACTGTTTGGTTCACAGAAATGCACAAGCAGTCTTGAGGCTGTCCTTGGTTTTACCTGCCCTTGGCCCCCATGCCCAATCCTGGTCTTCACGTTCAGTGTTTATGTGGTGATCTGTTATGCATTAAATGTCTTGCATCCTATGCCTTGATACAGGTTATGGTGGCTCTTCTTTCTTACTTTCACTATCTTTGTACCTTTAGTGTGGGCAGCAAAGTGTATAGTCTTTCCTGTCTGAAGGGGAATGGCTGTTCTGTTACCTTGAATGGAACCACCATGAGTGAATACCCTAGTGGTGGAAACTTAAGTTCTCAACCACCATTTTAAATGCTTGGTAGTAGGTATGTAAGAAACAACTCTTTGTAAGGAAACTGGCAGAAGAACTTTATCTGAGAACTTAGTTGAAAGTTAGAATACCCTGGCAGTAATAAGGAATTAATGACTTCAAAATGACTCTACTTACCGACTGTTTCCCTTTTAAGGAGTGAAAGCTTAATGACATAGTATCTGAGGTGACTGAGCTGATCTGATGTTTAGAGAGACAAATCCCATGATTGCTTGGAGCTGGAACATCTGCCTCAAAGAGCAGAGCAAGGCTGAAATCCTGTGATTTGGGTCTTGCTTCGCTGTGCTGTTGGGGGGTAAATGAAGAGCTTTTTCCATGGCCTCTGGCAGACTGATGGTCACTGGCTGCCCTTACTGCACTGATACTGAGCATGTCTTTGCCATATTCAGTGGCAAGTAGCAAACACTTATTTGGTATATAAATGCTCTTAAACATGTTTACCTTGTTTTTTTTATAACTGCTGTGATTAACATTGTGGAAGAAACAAGTCTAACTCTAATTTTCTATATCTTTTATAATAAAGATGTCTTTTGAAAGAATATTGGAACTAAAGGGGTGTCTTTGAATTCAATGACGCTTTTACAACTTAGCTTCTGTCTTTGGTGTTGTAAGGATAGTTTGTTTTGGAAAAATTTCTTAAATTCTCAAGGGATGACGTGGGGGGAGCTTAATTGTCCTGTTGTAAGCGCTTACTGTAGTAACAGCGACACCCAGAGGCCGAGAGTGTGGTTATTTTCTGTATTAAAATGGTGAGGAAGTGCATGATCCAAAAAGGCTTTTTATAGCTGTTTCAGAGAAGGTTCTAGACAACAAACAGATGGTTGGTGTCCAGTTCTTAAGTGGAAACTAGTCTCCAAGGTCATGGAGAAAGTCTATATGGCAGAGCTGGGCTTTGAACTCTTTTTTTTTTTTTTTGAGACTTTGTCTTTTTTTAATACTGCTGAGAGGTGGTATGGGAATTTCTTCCATATTCCATAAGCCATAGTGAGTAACAGTGATGATAATCAGAATATAGTAACTGATCCACTGGGGTGCTGAAGAAGTAATTTTCAACAGGCTTTTTTGGTGTACCACCTGAGGCAGTTGCAAAAGGAAAACTGGATCCTACCCTGCTATGCGTCTGTTCTGGCTGCAGAATCTCTCATTGGAAGCATTTACTGCCTTGCTGCGTTAGCTACGCTACTTTGCAGTTTTGCTAGCTTAAAATAATGCTGTGTGATGCTCCTGGGGAATCTGAATCTAAATCTGAACTATGCTCTTCTAGGTAGCAATTTCCTCTGTAAATTCAAGTATTTTGAAGCCTCATGTAAACTGAAGCTTTCTGGACTATGATGATGATCTACTTCCTGCTGTTGTAGAGAAATCTCCTGCTTTGATGCTTCTGGTACACTACTTTCATTGAGTTTTCTCTGAGGAGTCTTTTCTGTACTATAATAATGCTGCAACAATCACATCATAGTATTTGTAGTAGTTGCTTGTAGAGATTTCCTAGGTTTGCATGTGTTCTAGCCCTGCCTCAGATCCACAGGAGAAATTTTCTTCCTCCACCCTCACTTTCCCACCCATGCTAGCTCCTAGCTGTGACACAAGTGGACTTCTGGACACTGATCTGTTCAAAGAAACAGATCTTCCTTTGTTCGTTATGGCTCCTTCCTCACCTTAACACAAACCCATCTGACTACTGCTTCACGGAGCATTACGTGTGTAAAGCAGCTTGCCTACCTGCTTCCCCAAATGTTCAGAAAGCATGATGTGAAAACAAAAAAATCATGCTTTCCATAGGTGTACTTTGGAGGGGAAGAAGACAAACTCTCCCCTCGCCTAAGCTTTACATTTTGATTTGAGAGCAGGTTGTAGAAAACTATAGAAGGGGCCCACAAAAATACATGTTCCTTCATCATCTCTGCAGTTGCGTATCCTATGCAAGTGGCTTTCCTTACTGGGAGGAATGGTGTGGCATAGATATTACCATCTAATGGTCCATGCTGCTACTGCTTGATAAAAAGAAAAGGTATTTGGCATTGTTCTTGGATCTTCTGAACTGGTTGGTAGAAATATGTTGCATGCACCAGGTTATAAAGCACTTGGAACAATTTTGGGGGCTCAGCTGCTGGGTATTGTGTAAACCCCGTGACAGGCTTCATTTGGCTTCATTTAATACCTTGCCACTTGTGGCTGTGAGCTTGGTTTTGAGAAACCTGAGCAGAACGTGAGCATTCTCACTCCGTGAGAACGGAGTGCCAGTCTGAAACAAAAACTCAGTCCTGTGAAATACACTAACTGGCTGACATCTTTTGGGTATTGCTGTCAGAGAGAGACTTTAACATATCCTGGCTTGTTTGGTGGCTTGCTTTCAGGCTGTTTTGTTTTCCTGTGTCTGAGGCACTTGAGCATTGCCAAAACTCTACAAAACTATCCCAAGTAACTGGATACTGAAACAGAGGGGTAAAGCCATGCTTAGTTTAAAACTGCTTGAGGACCAAAATCCTGTTGTTACATGGCAGACATCTGTAACTCTTCGGGAGGGTGTTCTTATTTTTAATTAGAGGCTCAGGACTGAACTTGGCTAACAGGTAGGTAAAACTGCTGACACTTCTAGCAAGGCCTAGTTATGAAGCTCAGCCAGCCAGTGACCTCTGGTGGCATTGGGTTTGAGTAGGAGAGAAAGTTGTCTGTTTAATAAGAGTGCTGTGTGTTGCAGAGGGAAGAGTGGGACACTCTCTCTGCTCTGGGCTCTCCTATGTCCAATGTGAGATCTGTTCCTCACTGCTGCTCTTGGGCTGAGCTGTGTCCTGCTGCTCTTGGGTGAGCTTGTCAGCTCTGGAGCTTCTGGGGAGATGCTCACAAAGGAAATGTTCTCTTTATCGGATCTCTTAAGTAGGCCCTAATGAATTTTTTTAACTTTCTTTAACTTTTAGGGGACTAGGTTAGCATGCTCCTGCTCCTAACCTTGAAGTGTAAGGTGTATGTTTTGGCTTGTAGTGTCTAGGCAGGGGGCTGGCTTAAAGTCATCCCTCAGCACTGCATACCTCGTAGTGGATGAGCAATAAATAGCTTCTTCTTTCCTGCTTCTCTAAATAGTGCTGAGTTACCCTCACACAGCCTTTGTTTTGCTCTGCAATAGCAAAATAATTAAGTGAGACATAGAGGACTTTTTTGGTCCCCTCTATCTGTCTTTTACTCCAACTTGGAACATGTGCAAAAATGGCCTTTCCCAAAACCTTCCTTTTGTAAGTTTTCACTGACACTTCTCACCCCAGGGAGGCTCCCCAGCTATCATTCTGTCCTTGTCTAGAACTGTCCCTTATCTGAAAACACTCCTGAAGGACAAAACCTTTCCTGATAAATTTGCCCCATTTTAAAATGTGTTTTTCACTGAGCCTTTCAGCTTTTCATTTCTCTTCCTAAAACTGGCAGCGGCATGCTGTAGGTTTCCATGTGATCTTCGCAGTGGTACTTGTGGTGGGCTTTATTATAGAATTTTGGTTTCTGGTCAGTTTATCCAGTGGATAGTCAGAATAGGAA